TTGGCTGCCTTTTGTTGTGTTGTCTGTGAAGATGATCCCACACTGCTTCAATGATGTTGAGGTCGTGGCTCTGAGGAGGCCAGTCCCCAGAGCTCGTACCTGTGATGGTGACTGATGAGTCTATTGTGTGTGTTTCTATCCAGGGAGGATTTCCCTGCAGTGGCCGTGTGTGTTTGAGGATGCCATGCTGACGAATGAAGCGTTTGGCACTCAGGTGCTTTCCAGTAGGTCAAAATGTGACAGTACTTTTCCTTAAACCAAAACCAACAGAAATGCACGGCCCCATCACGCCTCCATCGTCTTTTACTGACGGCTGCAGACACTCACTGTTGTAGCTCTCCTGACCTCGGTGATCTGAACCAGAAATTAGACATTTGGATGGATTCATCGCTCCATAAGAGATATCGCCCCTCTGTTTCAGCCCAGTTCTTGTGTGATTTGGCAAACCCCACCCTTTTCTGCCTGTTTCACCATTTGATGAGGCTTCAATAACAGTGGATGGATCAACTGAAGATCCAGCTACAGAAAGCAGAACTGTTGCTCAAGGCCACTTTAAAAACACACAAAGCAAACTGTAAAGAAACGAGAGGTGGCTCAAATATGTTGCACAGGGCTGTGTTTTGAGGAAACAATATTCAGTCTTTGACATCACCTTGCTGGCTTCCTGTAGCACCCCTTGTGCATGCGAGAGCGTCTGAAAGTAGCTTCTACCTCCTGATTTAAATTCCTTCACTGCATCGCTATCATGACTACGGTCAGTCTATTACTCCCACCATTTTTCTTTTTGTAAGGTCCAATTCAACTTCAATTTTAAGCCAGTTGTCCTCACATTGTCTTCAAGCACTGTTTGATTTGATGTAGAACTCATAGCTGAGTCAATGACTGCAAGCTGCCCCTGAAGCAGCGAAGAAACCGAGAATCACAAACTTCCCACCACTGTGTTTGTGCAGCTCACTGATGTGACTGTATGCTTACATTTCATGTTCTTTGAGATTTGACTGTATCTCTCTGTGTGTACGTGT